GGAGGCCTCTTGGGCCCTCTCGGAGCGTCGGGAAGGCGAGAAAGCGAGAGGGCTGAAAACTTCCAAGGACGTTCGGAAAATCAATGTTTTGTGTGGGGCGCCTCTTGGAAGCCTCGAGGGGCGCGCTGGGGTCGTCGACGGCAATCGTGAGGCCCTCTTGGGCCGCCTTGGGACGCTGCTGGCTTCTGGCCGTAGGGCCTGCCACCTCATTTGTCGACTCGTGGTGCCGCTCCTGGACCGTTGCAAAGTCCTCTAGGCCCGCGCCCAAGAGATCCGGCATCTGTGACGGGGACTTGCCAGGACCCTGCCGGGAGTTGTCCGGGGTACTTTTTCGCTCCGGGCCCTCCAGGGACCGCAACGCGCGCGCGAGCTAGAATATCGATGATTTGTTTCCGGAGATCTTAGCACGCCTCTGGCCCGCTGGGCCGGCGAAATTTCTGGGATGTGGCCCTTGAGCACGATGGTCGGAGCAGATGGGGTCAGAGGATCGCGCCGAATTGCCGATGCATCGGCGATGCGGTTCGATGTGGAGCCCGATGTGGCTGATTCATCGCCGATGTCGCCGATGCATCGCCGATGCATCGGTGGTGAATCGACAGGGAGGCGCGATCCTCCGACACCATTTACTCCAACCCCATCTCGGAGGCCTCTGGAGCTCCTGGCGTGGCCTTTCTTGAGCCGGGCGTTGTCGCATAAGTTTGGGTCCCGCGGGACCATCAGAGATCAACAGGGCTCGAAAAATGCGGCAGAAAGGTGGGGCGGGGCCATGATCGTGACTTATCTGAGCCAGCGTTTGTCAACCAACTTGCCGTACAGCTGGCCCAGTTTCTTGAGGCTTTCTGTGGGCGGCAGCGGGGGCCATCTCTAGGAGGACATCGACCAAAGAAGTGGGAAGTCCTGAATTGGCGTTGTCCCTGTAGATCCCCCGCGCTGCCTCTGGAGCCCCTATTGGCGCGCCCCTGGGGCGCTCCTGGGCGATCTTGCAGCCGTCTTGGCACCCTCATTGGGCCCTGCTTGGCCATCTTGGGGCATCGGATGGCCATTGCTTTTGTTTGGACGCCCGAAATGGGCACGGAAAGAATGGGTACAATGCCCACCAGCAAATGTTGTCCCGAACCAACAACGGCCGCTGTTGGGCTGGCGGCCTTCTGTCTCGAATGGACACAGGCCGCGGCGGCGCGGACAGCGAGCCCTGTTCAAAATGAACAGGAACTGCTGTTGGGCATTCGTACCCATTCTTTTCGTGCCCATCTCGTTCGTGCAGATCTTGGGCGATCTTGCGGCCCTCTTGGGGCCCTCTTCTGGCCCTCTGTGGCCATCTTGAGGCCTCGGATGGCCAGCGGAAGCGGCACGGCGAGACGGCAGACCCGGACGCGAGGCGACGCTGCCCGAGGGCTGCGGGGCCGCGGCCATGCCTCCTCGCGCCGCCGATCTGACACGAAATCCGACCCCGTGCCGCTGCGGCCCGATTCGATGCACGGTCTGATCCGATTCGATTGGTCGATTCGTTGTACGATGTGCCAACCTACTTTCGCCTTGACCACCAGCAAGGAGTTCGAGCACCAGAAAAAACACGGATCTGTGCAGTTGTCACGTGTCGGGCACTGGGAGGCAGTACTCGTTCGACACTGCGCCAGCGTGTCGGGCCTATACATTGTTTCGACATGTTTCTGGGTGCTCGGAATGAGTTCTGGGATGTGGTCCTTAAGTACGATGGGAGAAACCGAAGGTTCGTTAGGTGTTCGATCATGGACCCCTGGTGAAACGCATGCCCCCAGCTTTAAGGCCGAAGACCGCGGGGAACCGCCGCAGACCGCGGGGAAGCCGCCGAAGACCGCCAGGAAAACTGCCGAAGACCGCCGGGAAAAACTGCCGAAGACCGCCGTGAGACCGCTGCAGGCCGCTGGAAGACCGCCCGAGGCAGATGGGTAACAAGTGGCCCATGGTCGAAGACGTAGGATTCGCTGCCGACCGCTCCTGCGCTGCTCGTCGGCTTCCTCGGAGCACCGCCTGGTCGACCCTCGCGATGCAGTGGCCGCCGCGCCGGCGCGGCAGCGGGTGTGGGCACGGGCGCGCGGCTGCTCGTCGGGGCCCTGGCGTGCTTCGCTCGTGCACGGCGTACCGCGCAACATGGCGCGGCGCACCATCACCCTCATCACCACCATCACCACCATCACCACCACCAGCACCACCAGCACCACCACCACCGTCACAGTCACCATCACCATAGTCATCGTCCGCATCGTCGCCGTCACCACCACCACAGTCATACCTAATGTCATCATCACCACCATCATCACCAGCAGCAGCAAGACCATCATCATCACCATCATCATCATCATCATCATCATCATCATCATCGCCATCCACATCATCATCAGCGTCCTCATCATCATCGTCACCATCACCATCATCATCATCATCATCATCATCATCATCATCATCATAAACAGCATCATCAACATCTGCATCATCATCAGCATCATCATTATCAGTATCGTTATCATCATCATCATCGTCATCGCCATCGCCATCATCATCATCAGCATCAGCATGGTCATTTCCATCACCATCATACACATCACAAGCCTCCACCGTTGCCAACATCGTCACCATCACCATTTGCACCACCATCAGCATCATCATCATCATCACCATTACCATCAGCAGCAGCTTCAGCAGCACCAGCAGTAGCAATAGCAGCATCATCACCATCACCATCCATCGTCATTATCACCACCATCACCATCATCATCATCATCATCATTGACAACAACAGCATCATCATCATCATCTTCATCATCATCATTATCATCACCATCATTAACAACAACAGCATCATCGTCGTCGTCATCATCATCATCATCATCACCTTCATCATCGTCATCCGTAGCCGTTTTTTTTTCAGGCCACTTTGGCTCAAGGCCTCCTGTCTCGAGGCGGCAGGGCAGGCACGCCCCCGCCTGCGATCTCTCTCGCGACCCTCCGGCCGCACCCCCAGAGGCAGCCGAGCCTCGAGCAGCGGGCCAGAATGGCGGCGGAGCTCGAGGAGCCGAAGAGGCCGGCGAACGCCTACTGGATCTGGCTCGGCGACAACCGCGACTCGTTGACGAAGGAGGCCGGCAGCAGCAAGGCGCCCATCATCGGCAAGCTCGCTGGCGAGAAGTGGAAGGCCCTGCCGGCGGCTGCCAAGAAGCCTTTTGAGGACAGGGCCGAGAAGCTCAAGTCCGAGTACGACGCGGCCATGGAGAAGTTCAAGGCCAGCGGGGGCCAGGTGGGCAAGCGGCGCCTGGAGAAGAAGGAGGCGAAGGAGGGGCAGCAGGCCAAGACTGCCAGGAAGGCGAAGAACGAGGCCGAGAAGGCATCGGGGAAGCCGTCGCGGCCGCAGAACGCCTATTGGATGTGGCTCGGCGAGAACCGCGAGGCGCTGACCAAGGAGGCTGGCACTGCTCGGGGGCCCGTTGTCGGTAAGCTCGCGGGCGAGAAGTGGAAGGCTCTGCCAGGGGCGGCCAAGAAGCCGTTCGAGGACAAAGCCGCGGTGCTGAAGGCCGCGTACGACAAGGCCTTGGCGGAGTGGAAGAAGAGCAACGGCGGCGGCGGGGACGGTGAGGAGGACGAGGACGGCGGTGACGCGGCCGTCGGCGGAGCTTAACAAGCTTCGTTCTATGCATGCACGGCCTTGCCCGCGAGGATGATTCCACTCGCAGCAAGTCAAGACGTCTCAGGTGATTAGCGGGCCACATACTGGAGGACTTGTCAATAATAGTCAAGAAATAAGATGTAGGAGGACATGCCCGGCCTAAATCTCGTGCGAGCGGGCGGCGGACGGCGTCGCGGCTCACACCCGGTGTTGGCGTGGGGGGGGGCAGCGCCGCAGATGCCCACTGTGAAAGGCTCGCTGTGTGCCAGAACAAGAGGACATCATCATCATCATCATCATCATCATCATCATCATCATCATCATCACTATCATTATCATCCTCATCCTCATCCTCATCCTCATCCTCACCGTCATCATCAGCATACTCATCATTATCATCATCATCGGCATCATTATCAGCATCAGCATCATCACCATCAACATCATTAGTATCATATGTATCATCGGTATCATCATCACCATCCTCAGCATCATCAGCATCAGCAGCATTGTCATCATCACCCACAGCATCGTCATACTCATCATCACCACCAGCATCGTCATCACCATCACCATCATCATTATCATCGGTATCATCATCATCACCATCATAAGTACCCTCATCATGATCATCATCATCAGCAGCATCTCGTCATCAGCACCATCTTCATCACCATCATCATCACCACCATCAGCATCACCACCACCATCATCAGCATCATCATCATGACCGTCACCACCATCATCATCAGCAGCATCACCACCATCAGCATCATCCTAATCATCGTTGTTCTCGTCATCACTGGCACGGTCTCGAAGAACACACGCTATAAACATAATGAATGTCTGGCGGCCCGCGCGGGCTTCTCACATCCGCCCTTTTGGGCCCCCCCTCGGCCGCGCCTTCGGCGCCGCCCCATGGCGCGCCCTCCGCGCGCCGGGAAGGGGCGTCCTGGAGCAGATCCAGGACAGCCGCGCGGAGCGCCAAAAGTTTATGTTTAGACATGTTTTCTTGTCCTTGGTCTTCTTCTTCTTCTTCTTCTTCGGTCACTGTCATCCTTGTGGGACCCGGAAACGGCAGGGCCGTTTCTTCACCGTTTCCAAAAAAATGTCCCTTGAAACTGGAAACGGCAAAAAGACGGCGACCGGAAACGGCAAAAATACGGCTCCAGGATTGGAACCGGAGCCGGAACCGGTAAAAAAACGGCGACGGAACCGGTGAAAAAACGGCGTCGGAACCGGCATCAAAAACGGCGAAACGGAACCGGTAAAAAAGCGGCCCTGGCGTTTCCAGGGCCCACTAGGGTCACTGTCTTCCGCATCGTCATCACATATATCCGCGGCTCGCCGTCGACCATCGTGGCTCAAGCCGCCGCGAAGGCCAGGGCGGCGCCTCGGCGCCGCGGGCGATTGCCGGGGCGCGAGAATGGAGTCGAGGCGCCAGCTGATCCTGACAAGCAACGGGCTGACGTCGGACCCGCTGAAGGAGGAGTTCCGCCGCATGCTCGGGGAGACGCCCAGGGTGAAGAACGTGTGGTATCGAAGACGCCTACGGCGAATCACCGGCGCCCCCTGCCCCTTTGGAAGCGCCTCTGTGGCCGACAGTTGGGCCAGCCAGAGCTTGGCCAAGCTATCGGGCCAGTCGTTCCCCGAGTCGGTTGGGAAAGACTTCGCGGAACGCGTGGGGGAGCAAGGAGAGGAGGAGGGGGAAGATGAGGAAGAAGGAGGAATAGGAGGAGGAGGAGGAGGAGGCCTCTTGGGCGCCTCTTGGGGCACTCTTGGGGCCTCCTGGGAGCTTCCTGGGGGCCTCTTGGAGGGTTTTCGGGGGCCTTTTGGGGCTTCTTGGGGGCCTCTTTGGCCGTCTTAACGCGTTCCTGGCTTGCCTGACGCTGCCGGAAGCCGTCTTGGGGGCCTGTCTGAGTCGTCTTGGAGGCCTCTTGGGGCATACCAGGGGTTCTTAGAGGCCATCTTGGGCGTCTTGGAGGCGTCTTGGGCTGGTTTGGGGCCCTCTTCGGGCCGTCTTTGGGGCCTTTTGGGCCGTCATGGAGCCATCTTGGAGGCCTCCTGGGCGATCTTGGGGGCCTCTTGCGCCGTCTTGAGCCGTCGGAATTCCGAGAAGAAGCACATGCCAACATCTTTCAAACACCAAAGGAAAATACACGATTTTGGCCTCTTCGTGCCCTCATGGAAGATCTCCCGGACGCCTTTGGGGCCGTCTTGGAGGCCTCTTGGGGGCCTCTTGGGCCGTCTTGGGCGCCTCTTGGGGGCCTCTTGGGCCTTAGGCCGTCTTCGAATCATTTTGGGCCGTTTTGGATGCATTTTGGGGCCATCTCAGCCGTCTTGGAGGCCACCTCCGCCGTCTTGGAGGCCTCTTGGGGGCCTCTTGGGGCCGTCTTGGGGGTCTCCAGCATGGGACCATCTTGGAGGCCTCGTGGGCGATCTTGGAGCGATCTTGGGGGCCTCTTGGGCCGGGCCGTCTTGAGCCGTCGGAATGTCGAGAAGAAGCAAATGACAAAACCCTAATGAAAATTAGCGATTTTGGCCTCTTTGGGCCCTCCTGGAGGACCTCTTGGAGGCCTCTTGGGCCGTCTTGGAGGCATCGTTGGAGCCTCTTGGGCCGTCTTGGGCAATATCGAGGCCATCTTAGGCCGTGTTGGATGCATCTCGGGCAGTCATGGAGGCATCTTGGGGCCATCGTAGCCGTCTTGGAGGCCACCTCGGCCGTCTTGGAGGCCTCTTGGGGCCGTCTTGGGGGTCTCTTGAACCGTCGTGGGGCCATCTTGGAGGCCTCGTGGGCGATCTTGGAGCGATCTTGGGGGCCTCTTGGGCCGTCTTGAGCCGTCTTGGAGGCTTCTTGGGCGAACTTGGAGGTATCTTTTGGAGGCCGTCTTGGATCATCTTGGGCGGACTTGGAGGCCATCTTGGACAATCTTGGAGGCCATCTTGGGCCAACGTGGCCATCTTGGAGGCCATCTTGAGCCGTCTTGGAGGACAAATTGGGGATTGAGCTTCCTTCCGGGACCCCGGCGGGACGGGCCGAAGCCCTAGGGGGAGTTCTTTTGGAAAAAGAACCAACACCAAAACCGAAAGGATCTAGCACGCCAAACACCCTTGTGATGGATCAAGAGGGGGCGGCGGATCTATTGGCCTTCGGCCCATCCCACCACCGTGCCCGTCTCGTTGGCAAGCGGTCTCTCAGAAGTATTTCTGGGTTCTCATGGAATGCATCTTGGCGGCCTCGTGGGAGCCTCTTGGAGGCCCCTTGGGGCCTCAAGGGGGCTTCTTTGGGCCTCTTGGGCGTTTCTTGAAGTCCTTTGCATGGGGGCCCTACCCTCTGAGGCCACTGCGGCTGGCGGTCCTGGGGATCATTTTGGAGCAAGGTCTGGGAATAGACATCTTGTCCTTTTCATTCTCTTAGGCCCCGTTTGAGACCGTCTTGGGGGGCTGGGCCGCCTCGGGGGCCTCGGGGGCTGTGTCTGTGTCCTCTTGGGAGCCTGTTGGTCAGTCGTGGACGCTCTTGAGAGCGAAGTGTCGAGCATGTTGAAGTTACAGTCAACCCGCACAGTAAGGATGAGCGACTTCCCAAGCGTACCCTTGCATCCCTGCCTCTTCGGTCATCTTCGGCCCATCCTCGACCACTTTCGAAGGCCAGCCCCGCTCGAAGAGCCTCGGCATGGGCGTCCAAGGCCCTTTCATCCTTACCGCGCATCCTTACTGTACGGGTTGGCCGAATGCAAAACACACACACACACACTCAAACACACACACACACACACACACACACACACACACACACACACACACACACACACACACACGCACGCACGCACGCACGCACGCACGCACGCACGCACGCACGCACGCACACACACATATATACACACGTACACACATACACACATACACACACAGACGCAATGAATCGTCGACTCCCAGGAAAATATAGGAAGTGGGGGGGGAAGACCAAAACCCAGAAAATCCCGGAGGAGATACGGGAATCCTGTTATTTGTGTGCATTTATTTGCGTGTCCTGGCGCCCCTTCAGTGTCGAAAGTGTGCGAACATCTCAGACGCCGCAGCTCTTCGGGCTTTCGCTAGGACGGCCCCGGGGGGCCTCCGGGCCCAGGGTGCGCCCCAGGAGGGCTCCAGGACGGGCCCCAAGAAGTTGTTAGGCCGCGCTGGAAGTAAAGCAGATCAGTTCCGCGCCCAAGCAGTATTCCTCTTCCTTTATTTTTACAAGCCCGGGGGGGGAAAAACCATCCCCCCCCCCAAAAAAAAACTGGATCCCCGGGATCTGGGGTTCTCGGGCTCCCTTGGACGTCCTTGGAAAAGGTCACCCAGCTTTCCGGGTCTCCACAAACGCCTTGCCAGCAGACCCAGAGCGATCAGAGGGGTCATCAGAAAGGCTCAAGGGAGAGCCCAGGCAGCACAAGAGCGCTCCAAGAGGGACTCGAATTGCTTCAGGACGGCCCAAAAGACCCCCAAGGCACCCCAAAAAGCTTTCCAAGGGGCCTTCAAAATACAAAAATCGTCCCATTCCCTCAGTAAAACTTTCAATTTTAGCATATTCGCCTTTCGGATTTCATCAGCTTTCAAGACGGCTTTAAAGCCCCCGAGATCGCCTCAAGACGCCCCAAAAGGCCCCCAAGAAAGCTTCAAGACGGCCGAGCCGGGCCCCACGGTCGCCCACGAGAGCCCCAGGACAGCCCATAATGGATCCAAGAGGCCCCCCAAGGGCTCCCAGCACAGACCCAAAGGGTCCATGGGAGGTCCCCGGAAGTGCCCAAGATGGGTCCAAAGGGGGCTCCAGCGGGCCCAAGCTCCCCAAGACGGCCAGACGGCGGTCTCCTGGGCGTCGGAAGCCGCCTGGGAGGCTCCAAAAACGCCCCACAACAGAGCCCCAAAACGGCACAACAGGGGTCCAAGATGGCACTCAGAGAGCCCCATGGCGGCCCAAGATGGCCCCAAGACACCCTCCGAAGCATTCCAAATCGTGACCCGGTCGTTGAGGGAGACCGCGGTTGGAGGCAGGGTGGGTGGCCCGAGGAAGTCCCCAGAGCCTCCCAGAACACGCCCAAGAGGCCTCCAGAAGGCCTTTAGAAAGCCTGAAAGAACTTCTGTGAGGCCCCCAGAGGCTCTCCACGGAGGAGCCTCCGCCAAAAGAGCTGAGGAGGATGGGAGGAATGCGCAGGGCATGGCGAACATGAGGAAAAAGAAGCATGTCGGACGGACAACGAATAACATTACTATAGCGGCGATGCCGGAAAAGTCAACAAAGAGTTATCGCTAAGTTGTCGGTTTGACCTTCCTGCTAGTCCGCCTGCATACCAAACTTCAAGGACCAAGGTGCATGGCGCGAAGCGCCGTTGCAGTCTTGTATATAGATATATATGCACACAGTTATATACATATATATATATATATATGTATATATGTATGTGTACAGAATTATTTACGTACGCATATACATATATACATGTATACATATATATACGCACACAAATATACGTCCATACGTACGTGTCCATACATACATACTCATAGTTTTACACATACATATACATATACATATACACACATATACATTTGCATCTACATATACATATACATACACATACTCATAGACATACGCATATACCTACACATATACACATACATACACATATACATATACATAAACGTATACTTTTACATATACATATACATACACATACACATACACATACGCATATATATACATATACATACACATATACATATACATACTTAGAATGTATACAACTATGGACAAGTATATCTATACAACACTGCAGTGACGCTTCGCGCCATGCACCTTGGTCATTAAAGTTTGGTATGCAGGCGGAATGGCAGGAAGGTCACGCCGACAATTTAGCGATAACTCCTGGTTGCCTTTTCTGGCATCGCCGCTGTAATAATGTTATTCGTTATCCTTCCTCCATGCTTCTTTTTCCTTCTTTCCGCCATGTCCTGCGCATTCTCCCCATCCTCTTCAGTTCTTTTTTGCGGAGGCTCCTCCCTGGAGAGCCTCTAGGGGCCTCACAAAAGTTGTTTCATGCTTTCTTAAGGTCTTCTGGAGACCTCCTGGGCGTATTCTGGGGGCCTCCGGGGGCTTCCTCGGGCCACCCTGCCTCCAACCGCGGTCTTCCTGAACGACCGAACCACGATTTGGAATTCTTCGGAGGGGTCTTTGGGCCATCTTGGGCCGCCATGGGGCTCTCTGAGGGCCATCTTGGACCCGTGTTGTACTCTTGGAGCGTCGGGAAGCCGAAAAGGGGAGAACCTAAAATTCACCAACAACCATAGAAAATCAATGAGTTTTGCCTCGGGGGGCCTTCTTGGGAGTGCTCTTGGAGGCCTCTTTGGGGCCGTCCTGGAGGCCTCTTGGGGTCACGTCCGTCACTCTTGGAGCGCAATTGTGCTGTCTTTGGGGTCTCTGGGACGTCTCCGATGACCCCCCTGATCGCCCTAGGTGTGCTGGGACGGCTAGCAAAACGCCATGTGAGGCCCGGTGGCCGCTTCGAGGCCCGTCTGGAGAGTCCCAAAGCCTCAGATCCCGAGAGTCCAGTTTTGGGTGGTGGTGGTGACGGGTTTTCCCCCTGCCCGGGCTTATAAACATATTGGGAGAGGAATGAATCTATACATATATATATATATATATATATGTATATATATATATATGTATATAAATATGTATGCATGCATATTTACACACACGCATATATACATGCATACCTATAGTGTGCACATACATACATACATGTATATCTACATATACATATAGTGTATATACACATACATACATACACACATATATTAGATATATGTATGTGGATGCATCTGTATGCGTACATACATATATATATGTGTATTTGTATATTTGCATACATATATATATATATACATGCCCTGAGGCCCTGGGGGTGGGAGAGTGTGGCCGTGGGTTTGGTATACAGACTTCCGTCCCTGGGGCGTGGTTTTGTTTATCTACTACTGGAGGTGGCCCTGGGCGGTGGAACCTCACTGGAGCGGGGAGGGCGTGGTATACAAGAAATCCTTGAGGATCGGCCACGCTCCCGCGATGCCGCTGAAACAGGCACGCGAGTCGCCCCGAGAGCGCCACGAGGCGCCTAAAAAAGCACCCAGCAATCGGGGCTCTGGGCCCCCTCCAAGAAGTGAAGTAATAGGGACTGGAGGGCACTCCGCTCAGCGCCTGCGGCACGGAGGCGGATATTCCCACTGCTCCCCTGCGGGATGGGATGGGCCAGTCCTTCGTGGACAGGCAGGTCGACAGCATCAAAAGGGAGTTCAACCTTGGGGAAGTCAAGGCGATCGACCCAGAGTACGTAACAGGCGATGACCTTGCAGAAGCCCTTGCGAGCCTCGGCAGCGTGGACGTTATTTGGGCCGAGATGGGCAACACATACGCGTTACGGCACCACTTGCGAGAGTCTGGCGGTGATGTGCACGTGCATCGGGCGATCGGCGCCGGTGCAGTCTACGTGGGCAGCAGCGCTGGGTCCATTGTTGCAGGCAGGACGGTGCAGACGGCGTTCTGGAAGAATTGGGATGACAGGACAGCGGAGGGAACGATCGATGTTGATTGGGATGACCCCGACACTGCATCTGGCCTCGACATTGCTGGCGGGCGAAGCATCTTTCCTCACGCGAGCGGACCGTATGCCCTCAAGGCCTGGCAGGACGCGCAGGCCAAAAAGTACGGCCACGATGACCATGAGGTGATCCGGCTACCTGACGGCGAGGGGTACGTCCTCGACGGGGACAAAGCGTACCAAGTAGGAGCGTCTTCATGCAGTGCTTCGTAATGCCGCGTCCTGGAGATCGTCGTCGCCATCGTCCTCGCCGTAAGTGTCGTCGTCACCGAGCAATGGTCGCGGATCATTACCGCCGCCGTCGTCACCATCAGTGCCTTCGTTGCCGTCGCCAGCATTATCGCCGCAAACATCGTTGTCGGCGGTGAGTGCTCTAGAGGCAGGCCGAGAACGCATCCAGGAGTGCAGAGAGGAGCTGGGTGAGTAGGGCGGAGAAGGGCGAGGAGGGAGGCAGGAACAAGGAGGATCGGGCAGGACTGTGAGGATAAAACGTTCCAGAGCGTTCCAGGGCTCTCTCAGGAAGTCCCCGAGCGTTTTGGACATGTTGCAGCGCCCGATGCATCTTCAAGACGAGCTCGGTCAGCGATTCCCGATGTTGTCTTCGTCCTGTTGTCGTCGCAGAGGGGGGTGGACGAACAAGAGGAGGGGGAGGAGGAACGAACGAACGAGCCAGCCTCGGAGCTCCGCCGAGTCGACCACGCACGAGCCTTCGCTTCGCCAGCCGACAGCCACGACGCTAAAACCAGTACCACCTCGGGCTCCGCAGGGGCTCTGTGGCTTTCGGCCCGTTCCTTACACGTGTGGGTTGGGGGACCTGCTCGAAGCCGAGCCCTGCTCTTCTCTTGTTGAGTCTGTCAGTTCGGGCTGGGGGCCCTGCTGCGGGAGCACCAAAGGGTGGCGCGCCTTTCTCCCCCCCCTCCCCCCTACATCTGCCCCCTCCGTGAAGCAGCGCCCCTGGCCCCTCCCGGGCGCCTCTCCTGGACACTCTGCCCGGGGCTCGGCCGGCACCAGTGCTGGGAGACTGCTGCTGCGCGGTCCGGCGATCACCCAGATTCTCGTCGGAGGCCTAGAGGATGACACCAGCACCAATAGATCGGCGGCGTGCTTCCACCGAGACCCTGTCGGTGGCGCAGTCCCGCAGGGGGTTCTCCTTAGGACTGGTGCGCGCGGGCACTGCGGCAAGCGTTCCCCCCCCCCCCCCCCCCAATCGGATAACCTTGGGCTACCGCCGAAGGACAAAGCCAGCCAAACGACACCCTATTAAAGGATGAGCACGCACCGGGGAAGGGCATCGCGCCTCCGCCGCACCTCGTCTGGGGCCGGGCCAGGGAGCTTCGGAGCCCCCGATGGTGGGGGCGGCGATTCTGGGGCGGGTAGGTAGTTCTGCGTCGCGGACCTGCTTTTTGGGGATTGTCCTGTGGATCGATCACAGGCCGCTCGGGCCACCATCGAGGACATTCAGGCCAAGACGGAAGCCTCAGATCGCCGGGGAGCTGGGTCGTCGGCCCCCCTGCGGGCAGCACGTGGCAGCCAGCTCTTCGGAGGCCCGCGCGTTTTCCGGGAGCCTCCGTGGGGCTGGCGCTCCGGGCGATGCACCCTCGTGGAGGCAGCGGCGCGGCGTCCCGGCCTGCCGCCAGGCCCACCAACGAATGTTCTGAGAGCCTGCTGCGGCCTGCACGACACGTTCGTCAGAACAGTTCTGGATGGGGTCGTCTTGGTTTAACACCTCGGCCTTCTGTCCTGAGAACCTCGTTGCTGTTCTTGGAACAGTTTGGGATTCTACGAAATTTTAGTGGTAGGCCTGTTAGGAATGCCGGGACGTTCGGTCCCTGCTCAGCTTGGAGGAGGGGCGGCCGGCCGCGGCCCCGGGCGGCGGCGCACAGACGTCATTTGCGATCGTTTTCGCGCGACGGCGCCTCCGATGACGATGACACGGGCGCCGACTGCGAGGGGTTCTGTTCGAGCAGTGGCGAAGCGTCCTGGCCTGCTGATGTGTAGGCCCACCGAAGAATTTTCTGAGAGCCTTGTGTGGTCTGCGCGAGGTGTTCCTATAACATGTCTGGCTGAGACCGTATTGTTGTATCACATCGGGCCTGTGTGCTAAGACGACTGTCTTAGGCTCTAAGAACAGTGCGTGGTGGGCTTGTAAGAATGCTGGCACGGTCGGTCCCTGCTCAATCTGTTGCGGGCAAGGTCTGCTCGTGTCCTTGTCCACTGCGTGTTGGACATGGCGTGCCAAAGGGCCGAGGCGGAGGGGAAATTTCGCAAGATCCGAGCCTCTGGAGGGGCCAGGCCCTGCTCTGGCTGCTGGGGGACCCGCAACTCCACGACGCAGCGGATATGGCTACAAGTCTTGGTCGCATCTGTGGCCGATCGACGGCCTCCCCACGTTTCACGGGGGAACAAAAACACGCAGACACAATGAATCGTCGATTCCCCAGAAAATCTTGGAAACTATGGGAAGTGGTGCGGAAGACAAAACCCAGGAAATATGGGAAAATATGTGGAATCCTTTTTTTTTTGTGTGTGTGTCTCTTTATTTGTGTGTCCCGGGGCCCCTTCGGCGTTGCAGAACACGCGCGGCGTCGCAACAAAAAGCACGACCGGAGCCCCAGACCCCATCTGCCTGCGGCACCCTGCGAGCCCGCCCCATCGGTCCGCGAGAGAGGCGCCGGGGCTCGAGACAGCGAGGCAACACATCGCCCGTGGCGCAGAAAAGCTGCCACGCCCAGCGAGGGGTTCTGTGGCCGCTCGAGGGGGCGCTTGCGGGAGGGGCAGGGCCCCGGCGCCCGACGCCACACGGTTTCTTCAGGACCGCCGGCCTCCAGAGGTCTCGACCCCCTCCCCTGGACCAGCGTCTCCTCCCGCGCCGTCTTTTTGACGGTCCCGGGGCCCGGCGAGGGCCTCCAGCCAGATGGGCGACGCAAAAAAAAACGGGATCGTCTTCTCCGACATGGCGCGCAAGCTGCCCGCGCAAGGTCTCGCCTAGGCGCCGCCTTCTTCATTGCAGCGCGCCGCGCTGGCGGCCCGCGTATAAGCCGCCGCGGAAGGTCGCTGCGTCAGCTCTCGTAAGATCCGTTTTGGCTCGTCGCTCAGATGTCCGTCGCGATGTGTCCGCGACCTCGCGGGCCCCGGCCCCTGGGCCGCGGCCCCGCGGACACGGGGCGCTTCTTTGCGCCGGAGGCCCCGCGCGGCACGCGCCCACTTGCGGCCCCGCTTCCCCGGGATCGCGCCCCGGAGCCCAGACCGCGAGGGTGCCAGGCCTCCTGGATGGGGTCCGAGCAGGTAGTCGAAGCATCGCGGCGCATCGCCGACGCATCGACGGTGCGGCTCGATGTGGAGCCCGATTTGCCTCACGGCCACGTCGCCGACGCATCGCCGACGTCGCCGATGCATCGACGATGCATCGTCGAGGCATCCGTGATGCACCGGCGGTGCGGCGCGAGCCTCTGGCCCCATCCTGCTCTCGGACCCCATCCAGGGGGCCTCCTGGAGGGTGCGGGTGCGGATCTGCTCGCATCTCGTGGGTGATCCTTGCATGGCCCGAGGGGCTCTGGGGTTGTTCAGGAGTCAAAAAACACAGACACAATGAATCGTCGATTCCCCCGGAAATATGGGAAAATGTGGAAGTGGGTGGAAGACAAAAGCACAGAAAATATAGGAAATGTAGGGAATCCTGTTATTTGTGTGTATTTATTCATGGGCTTACGCCACACCGCTGACCCCTTGGGATATATGGTAAGGCCTTGGGTGTGTGGGGGGGTCCGTGCAACATGAACAATATGTCTCTCGCTATCTCGCGCGTGGTTTTGTCTTGTGCAGTGCCCCCCCATGTCGCCGCGCCAAATTGCCGCCGGTTGCTGCGGCCTCGCATCAGGTCCACTCTCAGCAACTTGGTATGTTTGTATGTACTAATGATCGTATATATATACATATACATATATATATGTATACATAAACATTGTTGTATATATACAGAACATGCAATCGTATATTGTACACACACGCGTGCATAACATGGGCAGGCATGCGTGCACAGAGGTGGCACTGCGCGGTGCCATTCGACAACGTGTCTTTGGGCTCAAGAATTGGCCCGTGGTGTGTTCATTCGGCGCCAGCGACAGCGGGTGATGATGAGGCGCCAGCGACAGCGGTCACGAGCAGATCTCAATTAGTTTTTGCGTGTGCCGGGCATGTACAGATATATGCCAGATGATACAGGGGCTCCCCCCGCAACGCAAGTATATGTATGTATGTATATATATGTGTGTATATCTATATATAGACATATATGCTTGCATATGTGTGCACGTATATACGCATATAATATACATATACATATATGAATATATAAATGTATACATAAGTAGGCGCGTCCCCCTCATCTGCTGGCTCGTGGGTTTCTTTCCCGAAGATACTGCGCAACGTCTTTGAAACGCAGGTGCGGGTCGGACGTCGCCGACGCATTGCGGCGAGGCTCACGCGTGTACGGAATCAACAACGGCGAGTTGAGCTGCTGCGACGCAAGTATGGGGAGAGGAGGAGGCATGAGGTGGTTCAGAAAAGGAGGAGCGATTAGTGATGCAGATTCTGTTCGTTCGAGCCTCAACATAGTAGGAGGATTCCGACGAAAGCCTTGCGAGGAGGATCTCGCAGCGTGCGGACGTCCCGCCGCGCAGGGTGGAGGTTTTGAAGCCAATGTTTTGTCCTCCGGATCAACGGTGGTGCTCCTGCGCCTCTCGGGCCGCTTCTCGAGCGCTTTTGGGCCATTTTCGGAGCCCTCTTGGGCCGTGTTGGACGCCGGTTAGCCCGTCTCGGGGCCCTCCAGGGATCCTGTTGGGGACCCTGTTGGAGACTACGGGGACCGTCTGGGAGTGGATTTGGGGACCTCGTGGGCCGTCGGATGCGTTGGAAAAAGGGCCGAAACCGAATGTGTAAAAACAAATTTTTCACTAAGGGAATGGGCGCATTTTCCCTTTCGGAACCCTCTTGGAACGCACTTCGGAGGCGCTCGGGAGGGGCTCGTGGGGACCTCTTCTGCCGTCGAGACCGCCTCCGAGCCCGTTTTGGGGCCACTTGGAGCCCATGTGGAGCTTGGGGGCGCCTCGGAGCGCTCCTGGAGCGCTCTTGGAGCTGTTTTCGGAGCCCTCTTGGGCCGTCCTGGACGCCAACCAACCCGTCTTAGGGCCCTCCAGGGGTATGTGGGAGAGCTTCTGGGAAGCTTCTGGGCTCGTCTGGGAGTGGGTTCGAGGCCTCGTAAGCCGTCGGATGCAT